CAGTTCCCACGCGTAGAAATTTCTAAAGGGTGCCCTCTGGGGAGGTGTTGATTTCAGGGCTCTTTGTCCCGCGTGGAAAGGAACGGAAAGCCCCAGCCACGCGATGAGAAATAGCAGTGACAGCGGGAAACCGTTCGGAAATACTGTTTCCCGGAACCTTGTGTCCCTGGGATCTGTCCGGAAAAAATCGTCGCGTGTTCCCTCGAAACGATGATATATCGTAACCAGATACTCGCGACTTGTGCTTCGAATTTTATGATCCAACGTCGAATTTGTTTAAACCTGCATGAAAGTCACCAACCCTTTCATCTTTAATCCCTTAAACACCGGAGTATCGTACAAAATTGGTCACAAAATTGGAATTCTTTCATTATCGATTTAATAATCAATTATAATTCCCAATAATCAGGTATTTCGCAAAATTCAAATATTCGCGGTCTTTAATTAAATTTTACCGGAGTCAAAATCGAGCTAACGTTCAGCTGTTACTACGATTACCCTTTACTCGGATGAGTAGAGAGTATACTCGTAGCCAATAATTACTATAAAATTAAAATTAAAATTAAAATTAAAATTGTAGATTGCGAAAAGGCTATATATTTATACATGTATACACATCTTCAGGAAATGCTCAAGTACCAGAAATCTATGAACCCTCGTATGCCTTCTCCGCAGCAACAAGGTTAATTTCGCTTTATTACCCGATAAACCCCGAACCCATCTGCTATTCGACCGACACACTGAAGGGAATTCCTGCCCAATTAAATATCCCAACCGACTTTATCGCCATCATCCACAACCCAGCCAAGACACTGCTCTCTTACAGCTTCCCAAAATCGTTGAACCCGACCAAAACCCAGCCAGAACCCAGTCAACCGTCTCACCTCGAATCTTCCTCCCCCCAGCCGTCTCGGCGCTTCTTCTCCAAGGGCTAAAAATTCCTCGGACAAATATACACATATATATTTCGTTATCTGAATTATTCATCGCGTCGCGGTAATTCCGGATCCCCTCGAAACGTACGAAGCCGAGCGGTGCTTAATTCAAGAGACACGTTTTGGCTCCCCGAGTGGGTCGTTAGTCGGATGCATCACGTGCGCGGATTTAAAGGGCGGATCCGCACGTAGGTGCAGCCGGTTAGATTGCACCGCGGGACACAGCGAGAAAGAGAAGCGAGGGGTTGGGAAGAGACTGCTCGATCGCCGCGAAATGATTACGCGAGCTTCCCTGATTATTCCTCCGAATGGAGCCATCTTTCTTCCGGTGCGCGGCAGCGCGAGTGGGACGGAGCGCAGGGGTGGTGTAGTAGGTGGAAGGCGAAAACGTTCGTTTATCTGGCTGCAGCGGAATCGCGCAGATCCAATTTCATCCGAGGGAGACCCCGTTCGTTCGTCGGCTCGTTCGTCCTTCCACAAGCATATTTACAGGCACCTCGATGCACTCCAATGGCGTTTTAATCTGGCAAATGCATTCCGCGCGCGCCTGGCCCCCGGGCCTCTCACCCTCTTCCATCCTCTTTCACCCTTTCTACCCTCCGTTTCCCTTCGCCAGCTGCTTCGTTCTCGCTGTTCCTGTCTTTTTCGAAGCCGGTTCTTCTCGCGCCGCCAACATTTTCCATCGGGAACCACGCTCGTCAGAGCCCGCGATTTTCCACGAACCGCCGCAGAAATCCCGGATTTTTGGAAATGAATCGACGTCGTTCCACTCGACCCCCCGGCGTGTTTTCGTTCGATCCGCCAATGGGGTTTAATAGGGTGCTCTTTTCAGACCGAGTCTCTCCTGGATCCGGCCGGGTTATCGTTCACTGGATGAGCATTGTTCGTGATCGGGACGATTATCAACGCGCAGGATGGTGGCTCGGAATTATTTGGGGTTCGACGAGCGATGGGTGGTCGCGAAGGGTTGATTTGGACGACGCAGGTACGCGTTCTGTGATTACGTAAGGCGGTCGCGAAGTTTAGAGGGATTGCGGGTATTCACGCGAATGTTTTTCCTGTTCTGCGTATTTCCTGCCGTGTCAGGGTGGTCGACACGACACGGGCAAATCTTAGATCGCGAAATAGCGGCGTGTACGTTTGTGTGTGCGCCTAATGCGACCTAAATTGAAACACCGATAGCTGTTTTTCTTCCTTTTCCTACGGTTTTTCAATTCATAGCGAGTCGGGAATGAAATACGGTTGAAGTTGGGTAAAGCGAATGAAGCACGATTTTTAATTCTGATATATGTTAATTTATTAACATCCGAGTTGCTTGTATATTTTATCGAGTCGATTATTCTTTGAGTGCAAAAGCACCGAAGAGCACTGGGTCGATGGTGGTTGATATTCCAAGTTAAATATCACTTTTCCGCGTTTTATTGGAGGATGGGTGACCGTCGAAAAGTAGTTTTCTGAATCCAGTTCCTGTTCCTTTAATTTCCTATGACTTATCCAAATATCCAAAATTCTCTGTTAGACTTTTCGGAAAAGCTGGTTCTCCCCTTGTCTTGTCGAATAACCCCTAAAGCACAGACAAAGTGCCATCCAGTGGGTCAGAGTGTCAGAGTTTGGGGGGGTGACTTTTCCAAAACAATTTTCCTGGCGACTCCTTGAGGCTTTTTTTCCGATTCTTCTATCCATTTCCTAGACAGCGTTTCTGTCTGATCAATAAAAGGGACAAATAAAATCGCCCGAACCATTCCTTTCGGCAATACTTCCCCCATAGTTGTGTTACCGTGATATCAAATTTTGAGACTTGGAAAAATTTTCAATTATCCGAGAACCAGGGAGGAAGAATTCCAAGGGAAAAAAGGGGTGATAAAAAAACCGACGAAAAAATAGGAAAAATAGTGTAGCACATAAAAAAACTATTACGAGGGTATGAAGAAGATAAAAGAGATGAGAAAATTTAGAACAGAATTCCAGAAATAGAAAAAATAAATCGTGTTAAATAAAAATATAAAAGGAAAATTCCAGCGATAAAGAGCTAGCGGTGATTAAAAAAAAAAAGCGATCAAAAATGCAGAAAAATACCTTTCCAACCGGATAGGAAAATCCCGAAAATAAAAGAAGTGTTAAAAATTCCGCAAATTAAAATAGCAAGGTAAAAATACTGTCGCTAAAAAAGAAAGCTTCCAGGAACAGAAAAAGCTCTCTACATCCCTCCAACAAAAAATACAATTCCTGCAGTGAATATGACCGCACGTTTATAGTACAAGGAACTATCTTCAAATCTAAACAAATACGCGTTTCTTCTTAAAAAATCCCCCACCCATTCGCTGTATCGAAGATCTCCTAATTAAATTCCACCTTCGTCGCGTCCCTTCCCCGACGAGCTGCTCAGCCACCCCTATGCGAGGCGTCGGTATTCCTCAGTCGGAAAAATGTTAGGTCAGCTCTCGTGGGACACATGGAAGCGACGAACGAAGGACGATATTCTTCTCGAGAGAATCTTGGCGTCGATTCTACCCCATTCGCCGCCCCCGTCATCCTTCTACCCTTCGCCGGATCATTTTCAATTTATTTCCCCGTTTTCTCCTTTTCCTTTCTCCCTCCCTCTCTCTCCCTCTCTGTCCCAACCACCCTCTGTCCCTTTTCGTCTATCCTCCGGGGTGAGGTTGAAGGGAACGCGCTTTGAAGCGATACAGATAGAGGCACACGGGACAAAGGTTCGCATCCACCCCTGTGGGGGTGGTTGATTAATGGACTTCTTGCTGCGACCGATGTACAAGCGACGGGAAAAAATTAGAGAGAAAAGAGACGAACGAGGGTGCCGGTCGACGGTTGGAATTGCAACCCCCGTTCCGCGAAAGTACGATCGATTAATTGGAGTTGTAGACCGCCCTGATCGTCCGCTTGTCGTTGCCGTTGTTTAATCGTTTTTTGATGGCGGTCTCGGGTCTGGTCGCCGCTGGACCACCCGATCGCTCGATTATGTCCAGGCTCGCCCGATTTTTGCATCCCCCTGCCGTTGCTTTATTATCGGACTCCAGAGACAGGTTACTGCACGCTCATATACCCGTTGTTCATTATCGACGTTCTCGTTTCTTCCGTGGTTTTCGAGGTTAGCGAGGACGTGGTGCACGTTATTCGTTATCGGGGTGGTTTCGTTGGGCCGGATTCCTCACAATGCGTCGAACCAACAGCACCGTTGTAGCGAAATGCACTATTCCTTTGGAAATCGCGTGTCAGTGTACGGGAATTGCCCTAGTTGTGACAACCGCGTTTCATCCCTTGCACTCGAGGAGTTCCTTTTTAAAGAATTTTACTAATTATAAAAATATTCAAGTTACGAGTTGTGCGGTCCCCTAATGGGGGTTATTATATTCTCTTTTTCGTGGTTCCTACGATGCTGCCAATTTGTATTCTGGTGCTATCTTGCTATGATAGGTAGCAGGTAGAAGGGATGCGTTTCGTCTTGGGTTTGTTAGTGTACTTGTCAGTAAAGCTTTCTAGCAGACTCTACCTTAGACAGGGGATACTTAACTAGCATAGGAATTTGCTATTCATGGGGGTCGAGGATTCACGGAGGACTCGCGTTTTCCATCTAGCAGTGAGGGTGTGAATATTGGTCGCTGCAGAACGTATAATCTATTTCCCAAAGATCGACACTAGAACTAGCAACGCATATTGTCGAATAAGGATGTATATTTTTGCTATTTTGATACCAATTATTTTATCTTTCCTATATTCCAAACTCCTCGAACTTACACGGATTTGCAGACTCCGCTGTTGCATATATCACTCGCGAATGTTTCGCACGAACGTTTACGTGCATTGTCCGTGGTGCACGAAAACGTATTACACGTCCGTGTCTTTCAAGGCGCCGCAGCATCCGCAAACCGCGTACCCAGGCATCGCCATGTCCCTCAGCAGGTGGCATAAATTAATTCTCGCGGAAGCAACCCTCTTTTCCAGAGCAACCACCCACTATCGATCCTCTGTCTCAATCCTCGGACTGAAAATCGTCCCGATTTATTGTTCATCGATCGTTCAATGGACGTTGCACGTTGACTGTTTCAGGGCCGTGAAAGAAGGGAGCCCAGGACGCTGGAGGATCGATAAAGGCGATAGGGTAACGCTCGAAAATCGTTCCGGCCGGGAAGCATCGTAGCTTTCCATCGTCCCTAATTGACAGGTAGAGAGAGGAGAGGACGGGGGCCGAGGGAAGATCAGAGAAGAAAGAGCGACTCTGGCGACACGCGGGTGGAGAAGGGAGGAGAGATCGGGGAAAGGGCGAGGAGGCTGGCGAAGACGCGAAATTTACGAGTGAGCAGGTTTGCTCGCGCGTCTAGATAGCAGACCGGTATCTCGAGTCGGTCGTGCGCCGTAACAAATGGCCGAGTCGTAAAATCAGCTAACCGTGGACCGAAAGCGGAAGTGGAGGCCGGATTTCGCGGACGTTGGAACGGCGCCGGCCAGAAGAAAGAGCAGACTCGCGAGTCGGCTTATCCGCCACTTCTCGGACTGTCGCGATCCTCTTACGCGTCCCTATTCCATCGACCAATCCGTTCTTCCACGGATCGGAGAGGCGTTTCTCCTTTTCTGGCAACGATAATCGTGTCTCCTTCGCGCAACCGCGACATGGTCTCGAACGAAGAAGCCCGACAGGTCTGGATGCTCGCGTGAGAAGGGAGAGAATGTCGAGGATCCGAGGCACAGATCGCTGAGAAGCCAGGCGGTGGACCCACAGGAACGTTGGCCAAATGGGTTAAAAACGCTCGCGATGGCCGGCGCGACCCTGTGCTGCTCGCAAAATGGTGATCGTGCTGCTGTCGTGGAAACGCAACAAGTGGCGATCTGCTCCTTATCCGTGACCTATCATCGATGTTTTCCGACGGACGGGCCGGGCTCGATCCAGGTCCCGTCACCTACGATCTGAGCTTCGAGCAGACGTAGCCAACCAATCCTGGTAGAAGAGGAGGGGAAGAAGAACCGGAACTCTATTCGTTCGCGAAAATTCCGCGACGAGAACGCGACACCTATAATCAGGAGAAGACGAAACGAGAAAAAGTCAATTTTCGTTCGGAAAGATCTGCTCGATCGGAATTGGAGACCCACCATCGGATCGAGCCTACTGTCCCAATCTGTTGATCTCGGATAACGCTGATCGAGGTTGAGGTAGCTTCGGGAGACAGGCTCTATTCTCTAGACGCGAGACATCGAAGAGAAAGAGCGTGGACGACTATGAGCAGAGCCGATGCCCGGCGGAAGAAGAGGGCATCCTTGTTGCGGAAGTCAGGGCCGACTGTCGCAGCGGCTGCGACACGACGATTCTCGCTGCTCACGGTCCGTTTCGCGTTTCCACCGGCTGAGAGGAACGATCCGGGGCTAATCTGAGAGACAACCGTACCTCGTCGGATGAGACGATGGTGATGAAGATTTCCGCGGTCGAGGCTGGCGTTCCTTTACTAAGCGCCGTCGGTCCGCGCTGCGTCGTCAAGCAGGCCACGGTGAAACGATGCGTCGCGGCGCTGCTGCTCGTCTCAGTCGCCAGTATATTCTACTACACGCATTATATCATCAGCAGCCCGTTGTCTAGGTGAGTTTTGCTCAATTTTTATTCTCCTTTATCCTATGCCAAGTGCTTGGCACGTTATTCTCTCTCTTCCTTGACGCCGACGTTTAGAATATGGTAAATTGGGCCTGAGACTTGGTAACCCTTTGCGGACGAGCGCCAGATACATGCGTTTTGCGGAAGCCATCAGTTTGGCCGAGGGATTCATAAATGTGTCCCACGTAAACGCGTTGCTAAGTCCGAGAAACACAAATATGCATCGGCCTTTTTGGGCCTAGGACCCTCACGTCCCAAGTTAAGTAGTTGACTGTTTTTCGTCCTTAATGCTAGCGTCGCTATGAAAGAAAATCGCGTTTAACGCGTTAAATGCCACTATGGTCCCCAGGAACTGGCCCAGATTAGGACCGAAGGATGCTAACTTTCGGTGTTAAATTTGTCGCCATCTTTGGACCTAACGTTTGGGAATTCCTGTTATAACAATTGGTGCTGTATCTCCGAGCTTTATGAACACTTTGCCCGCCGCCGGTGGCCGAGTCTGGGCCTTAAGCGAAACGGGCTGGGCACTTAACGTGTTAAGTAGAAATGAGCGCTAGTAATTGTGTATAACCATCGCGGCAGCGGATGGGCCCTACGGTCCGCAAGGGGTTAACGCATTGCGTACTGCTCACGAGTTCTCTCGCGCTTCGCGCGCCATCTGTTATGGGCCTTAGATATCAACTCACCGTCTTGTAAATACGTGCACTCTCTAGCGTACGTCTTACAGATTTCTATGAGATTTCTTAACACGCAATGTGTTAGTTCGATTCTTTGCATTCGGAGTATTATTTTAATTAAAAAGGGACTGTTTTAATGGAAGTTTTTGGGAAATGAAAATTTTTATTCGGGAAAAAGAAATATCGGTGGGAATGGCAGTAAATAAACTGCAGATGGCGGGTGTCTCCGCGGTGGCGCTAGTGCGGCGCAGAGGGTTAATTAAGTCCGTATATCCTAAAAGAACGTTAAAGTGGTACTTTCGTTTTGAAACGCTGCCACGGTTTCAATCTATGCGCGATCTTGATGGCACTTATAAATACTGTTTCCGCGGGCTTCTGTGTACGCCCTAATGATCGCAAAGAATACTTGTGCCTGGCATACGCGTTATCTGAACGGTCTTAAAGCAACCGGGGTAAAGACGGCAGCGAGAAATAAGAACGACATAATTCGAGGCAGAAAAAGGGTTAAGAGAGAAGAAAATGTTCGCGGAGGCAGGTTCTAACGAGATTTTAGCAGCGTGCTAAATGACGCTCGCGAGAAACGTACGATCAATTACCGCGTGCGATATTTCTCCTTTTATCGCGTTACCACGACTGCAATTTTTTCACGCTCGCGATCATTTTTCTGCTGGTTCCGAGCAAATCTCGAAACTGGCAACTGGATTCGCTGGTTTACCTTTTTCTGAGCGATACGGCAGCCGAACTTTGACACGATCCTCGCGAGAGAAATTCAAATTCGATAAATTATCGAAAACATTCGGAAATACCCGAGTGATTTAGCAGAATTTCGCGAAGAGAGAGAGAGAGAGAGAGAGAGAGAGAGAGAGAGAGAGAGAGAGAGAGAGAGAGAGAGAGAGAGAGAGAGAGAGAGAGAGAGAGAGAGAGAGAAAAGAAATATCGAATTGGATATAATTCGCGGGTATCAAAAGAATCTGGTCTGAATTTCGAACTTTCGAGTAAATTTAATCGGAAAAATTCCATTGGAATGGCAGGTCGAATTGATCAACTCGCGGAAGCCGCGCAAATCTGTAAGCTTTCGCTTATTTGCAAGCAAATTGCACGCCCGTTGACGTCACGGGTGTAATTTCGGCCCCATTAAATTTGTCCTTCGACGGGGACCAAGGAATCGGCGTTTACGATAAAGGCGTGGCCTTTAGGTGAAAAATCGCCGGAATGACCGTGTTTACCGGAAATTGAAAAAAGAGACTGTCGTTTACTTTATGGAAAAAACCGCGCGGTTCCTCGAGCAAAAATTGAAGACCCACGAGGGGAAAAAGTGGAAGAGGAGAAGAAATATCAACGGGACGAGTGGAGAGACTTCTTGCACTTGTGGCGTGTGGAAAAAGGATGCCGACGAAAGGCGTGGTCGATGGATGGTCTTCGGCGAAGATCGCCGAGAGTGCCACTCTTCCGTGAAATGGCTGAAAAAAGGCATCGTTTACTTTATGAAAAAATTACGAGATTTCTCTCGCGAAAATTAGAGAGTCCGGTGTACGAGATGAAGCGGCTTCGCAACGAGCGAATTCTTGCGCTTCCGGTGCGGCGCGTGAAAGGCTGCCACACGGTCGAACTCGATGGAAATTTCTAAAATTATCGCAATTACGAAATTTCGACGAAATTAAGAAGAAAAGAGGCGCAATTTATATCGCGACGAAACTGCGAGATTTCAGTTTCGTCTGAAATTTATCAAATGGGAACAGGTCAAACGAGGTTTCCTCTTGCAAACGTAAGCTAGTTAATCGAGATTTTTACGAGAGTTTATTTACAAATATTGTAGGAATGGTAAACGAGGGACACTCGTTTATCAGGATAGACTGTCCTCGCTTGAAACTCGGATCTAGAGGACCCGTTAGTATCTGACTGCCTTAGTCCTCGCTCGAAGGGGTGACCCTTCGGAGAGGCTAACTCGGAGGGAGGAAGTTGTTCCCAAAAATGGGAACATTAGATGGTCGACTCACGACTGACTAAGCTTATACATTTGAGTCCCAAAAACCAGTCACAAAACAATTACCAAAAAAACGAAATTCGCAACAATTTGTTGCAATCGCGAACAGAGGAATTCTACTTAAAAACATTGTAACGATTTTGCCATCTTTTGCGTGTCGCTGTGGGTCACATCGCGCATGCCGGATATATCCTGCGTTAGGAACGAAAGGATTAAAGCAGGTCCAGAAGACAGGCGCCTCCCAGAAGGAGGAGAAACTCCCTCTAGCTCAAGAATCAAGAGTGGAAAAGGATATGATAATAGGGATACGAGATACAGGTCTTTCAAAGGAGATGAACGTCTAAATATATTCGATTAATTGTCTGTTAGTTTATGGAGGATTGCAAGTCTTTATTAACACGTTCGTAGCCGCGTCACCCATATCTGGATGACGAGTATGCTTCCGTGGGAGCTCCGTCACCCAAACATGGGTGACGCTCTCCTTGTTCAAGTTAAATAGGATTTTCAGCTGGATTT